ACCATTTCCTGTCACATTCCATCAAGTTGAAATTGCAAACACTTACCTTGCTTTACTAACAGTAAACTTCATGTTCTCCAATTCCTTGCACCTTAAATTAATAGCCAAATCCAGTTGAAGAAGTATTTACTGAAGAATATCTAACTGGAGAGGATTATGATTCCCAGAGGAAAAATTCCGAGGATACGTTATATGAAAACAAAGAAATAGACGGCAGGGACTCTGATCTTCTGGTAGATGGAGATTTAGGCGAATATGACTTTTATGAATATAAAGAATATGAAGATAAACCAACAAGCCCCACTAATGAAGAATTTGGTCCAGGTGTCCCAGCAGAAACAGATATCACAGAAACAAGCGTAAGTCAGTATTACGCTGTGTGTCATTATTGTATGTCTTATTTCTGGAGTATTTTCATGATCATCTTGATGTCATTTCAGGTTTAAAATATAGTTGTGTTCTTATATAAATTATGAATATTCTTCGCTACTAGGGCACCTTCATGGATTCTTCCTCCAGGGCATCTTCAGCATTTGTATCTCAGGCCACACCACTGGAGTCTTAATTTGAAAGAATAATCCTTAATAGTGTTGTATCCAAATTTCCTTGTCATTGATAAGATTAAAATTTAGTCATTGTTATTCTGGGTACTGATACTGTTTTCTGATTTTTAGACTATTTTATTTATTTTTATTTTCTGGTCATGCTCAGTAATGCACTGTATTAATTACTATATTATCATTCTTATTACTGTTATTTTACCTGTTGACCCCCTTCACCCATTTCTTCCCCCCGCCTCTAATTTATTAAATTTAATTTGAAGACATTTTTTGCTTAATGCTTTGGGATAATAAGTGAGGCCTACAGATGTCTTTATCTTTCTGTAATACGTCTTTAAGAAGCAATTGTTCAATCTCATTCAAGATTTAGTATTAATGTTCATTATGCTTTCCTTTGTATATTTTCAGTATTTAAGCCTTTAATAAGTTTCTATTTTAAAAAGCACATTTTAATAGGTTGTTTTAAATGCACTTAGTTGAATATATTACCTTTAAAAAATACTTAAATGGCCTTATTTACTTAAAGACAGGCTGCTTGAATTTTTCACTCAACAGATAAATGGCCATGGTGCATATGGAGAAAAAGGGCAGAAAGGAGAACCAGCAGTTGTTGAACCTGTAAGTAACTTGTGTGAATACATTCATTGTAAAAGTTGGCACAATTGTTTAATTTATATTATGAGCTATCACCACTATAAATTATTATGTATGCTTACGTATTACCACTGAAAATTCTAACATTCAATTGTTTATAATTAGTAAGTAAAATCACAAATAAGTAAGTTGATAAGGCCATTTCTGGACAGTAGAATTTCAACAAACCAAAAAATGTAGAGAGAAAGAATTTTGAAATTTGAAAGTAGCTGAAAATGTTTTAGTCTAATTCTTTCATTTTACAACTAAGGAACCTAAGATCTAAAGGGTTTAAGTAACTTTTGTGAGGTTCAAATGTTTGGTGGTTGAGACATGACCAGACTTTAGCTCTTCTACTTTCCAATCCAGTGATTTTCCCTCTAACTGCTATGATTTGACATTATTAGAAATATATTATCTGACATGGTACTTATTTGTTTCATATCCAAATAATATTGTGTAATAATATGAGTATGTTCTTTTTAAAATTCACTTTCTTTTCTTCTGTTGGTGTAAATCTCCCATTTGTTCCAAAAGTGATTTTTTAAATTTTTATTAATGTTATCACTACTCAAGATATAGATGAGAAGCAAATTCTTAGTAGAAATCAATTTTACTATTGTTTTCCATAATCAGCAGCTTGGGAAAAATATTGCATAGAACTAAAGAAGTATGTTTAACTGTTTGCCTCAAGGTCATGAAAATCATTTCAGAAACTTCAAAGATACAAGAATTTTTTAAACGGAGGGGAAGATAAAGATTAAAAAGATACATCTATAAGGACATTTGTTTACTGTATTACTTCATAATCTGAGAAAGCATGCCAAATAAAAAATACATTTTTCAAAATTAATTTGCCCTTGTTATGAAAATTTAAAACCAAATTTTTAAATGACAGAACAATTTTCAGCAGTGGAAACATAAACTTTCCAGAATTGGGTTCTTATCCTGAAGTAGTATTCTATTCTCTTATCTGTTTAAGAACTTATCTCATATTTATGCCCGGTTCTGTAACCTGGGCTGTCCCTCCTTTTCCTGAATTAAGGTACTCAGGTGTCACTTACTTCCATTCTTCCATTCACACAGCAAGTATTTACTAAGTTCTTGCTTTGTGCCAGTCATTATTCTGGGTGCTAGAGAAAACTTGGTTAAATGTCTCTGCTTTGCCCTTTGGGGGAGCACTTGGCATATTCTCCTTGTCATATTACTTATCTGAATAGTTACTTCCTGGCTAACTAGTTCACAGATTTTCTGAGGACAGGGATTAATATCTTCTATCATTTTGAATTTCCTCTCTTCCCTATGCAAAAATATTTGTAATTTGGTTTATAGGTAGGAACAGAGCATTCACCTTTTAAAATGCAATGATGTGATGCTTTCTGAGTGTCACTGAGACAAGAGGTTAGGGGTTACCTTTCCCTAGCAATGACTCTCTGTCTTTTTTAAACTATAGGGCATGCTTATTGAAGGACCACCAGGGCCAGCAGGACCTGCGGTATGTAAATATTTTAAGATTATTTTTGTCTTGATTTTTTTTTTATAATCAGATATAAGGTTTCTATTACATTATTAAATTTATAGATTTTAGACTAATTGAGTATTGAACTATAGAGGCTAATACTTGTTTAGAGGACCTGGTGGTCCTGAAACACTTTCTGATTTGGCTATCCAAATGAAATTCTTTTGAGAGCTGTTAAATTAAATTTTGTTTTCAGTATTTTTGTTGCTTAAGTATCTCTGACTCTTCTAACCTCATCTGCAACTTTGTACCTGAGAGCTAGACGAATTTTTAAAAAGCCATCGTTATTTTTTTGGATGTATAGATATATCTCAATGTATGAAGTTGAGAATTCTAAGTAGACTATAACTGCCTTATGTCACCTCCTGAATGGAGTGATTATCAGCTTCCATTGTCGTTTCCTAGAAAAGCTGATGTTACTCTCAGTGTCTTTGTTCTCAGATAGTTGTACTGATCTGGCTTTGAAAGAAATCCTGTCTTTTGTGGAATTAATTAAATTCTTGTTATCTGAAACAAACATGTTATGCTGGTGCCTTTAAATACTTTTCCCCATAGAGAAATGTAATGATTTCTACATTTCAACTCTGCAATCACATTTTTGTGGTGTAATTGAATGAGCATATCATTTCTTCAGTAAGAACTGGGAACCAGCTTTCACCCCAGGGACTGTACGCTGGCATGTTCTGCTTTCCTGTTCTTCCTTGGAATGTCTGCCTCCATCCCGAGAGCAGCTTCGCAGAGGAGGAGTGGAGCTAGCTTCAGAGTAGTCCCTATATGTTGTCTTTTTATTGGGAGATAAATAGGGCAATTGTTTGAGAGAAAAGTGTTTATTTATGAAATATAAATGAGTTCATCTTTGATTTTACTAGGATGAATTTTCCTGAATGCTAATGAAATCAGGATTCTGACTCAAATCATGGTTTATTTCTCTGTAGGGTCTTATGGGTCCTCCAGGTCTACAAGGCCCCAGTGGACCCCCAGGTGACCCTGGCGAAAGGGTAAGTGAAGGGACTCATAACAAAAGAGTGCAAAATAGATGAAAAGAATTAAACTATATTCTGCAAGTTTAACATATTATCCTTCTCACTTGGATAACACATGAATTCAGTGTTGTGCAAAATTTTAACTTTTCTAAGTATAATTTAAAAAGTGAGTGTAAAGAATGTGCGTTAGTAAGAAAACTTTTATTTCTAATCAATTCCATTTTGATATAAACCTGATACATTAGATTCAATTCTTCAGTTTGAATTCAGACAAATTTTCCAGGAACTCCCATGGGTATTTAGTTGGATGCTGGTAGAATGAGTTAATAAGCCTGCATCCCAATATGAAGATCAAGTCGTGGGTCACATGGTGAAATAGACCATTTGTGTTGTCTTTCAAAAACTCTTCTTATAAAATCCCATTCTCTCTTTCTCCTCCTTCCTTGAGTAGCCAATAACTTTGTGCATTATTTGAATTATGTAAAACTAGTGCCATGAAATATAGTCCTCCCTAGGTATACTTACTCAAAAGAGATTAACCAAGAAGTAGAAGACAAATACGAAGTAGATAATGTAAACTTCTGTTATTAAAAGTTATTCTGTTTCTAATTAATTTAATTCCTTTTGTTTACTTATTAATTTGATGATATCATTTACTTCCCTAGGGTCCCCCAGGACGTCCTGGTTTACCAGGGGCTGACGGACTACCTGGCCCTCCTGGTACCATGTTAATGTTACCGGTATGGTTTATTTAAATTGCTATAAAGATGAGTTGGTATTTTGTCATCTTATTGTTGAAAAATATTGTTGAACCATATTACAGATCAATCATAAAACCATGGTATGAGGTAGAGATACTTGAAGTCAAGCATAATTCAGAAATTATGGTACATTTTACTGAATTTTATTGAAACAAAATTCTGGTAAATATTAATCTCTGCAGTAGAACTAAGCCTTCAATATTTCATTATATTTTTGATGACAAATCTTTAAAGATTTTCTTAATATTTTAAATTATGTGCTTTAATCATAGTCATATGATTATATACATTTCATGTATTATTTAACTTAAAATATCTATAGTATTCACTACTATGTAGACAATAGTTGATACTTTTTAAATAACATATCTATAGCATCATTATTCATTGCACAAAAATTATTTGTTTTACCTTAAGATTGCTTTTTAAAGTTGTCCAAGATCTTTGGGGAGAAACTGAGTTTATCTATTTAAATGTAATGAAATTTCAAGTAATAATAATATAGAGTGAGAAATTTACTCATGCTGCATTATGAGTTAAAATTAAAAAGTTTTAGAATTTTATGGAAGGGAACATTAAGGATCAGTTTCCTAGAATAATTACCTAAGAAAAGGTAAACAAAATGAATCTATCTCAAGGAAGATTTCCTCTGTGTTCATAGAGATTCCAAAAATTTTGCTCAACAAAATAGCAGTTGGCCTGTAACCACTACTAAACTTAGTACATTTAGAATTTTTACAAATGAGTGAATAGAATGGGTATCATCTGTGCAGGTGGGAAAATGGATAATGGCTTATTCCAGAGTTTTCAAAAATTATGGAATTTGAAACTAGTCTCTTCAAGTGGTAAAGCATGGTCTAGAGAACATCTGTAATGGACAGAGAAAATTAAAAAAATGAAATCTAAGTGTCACGATGCATGATGAAGTTACCTTGAACTTTTGTAAAATTCTGCCATTTTAAGTAAGCAGTTTTTACTCTAGTAATTAAGGCACCTATTTGACCAAGTCTGATTTTGAGCTTCTGGATGTTACTATCTTTTCTTAGTTTCGCTATGGTGGCGATGGTTCCAAAGGACCAACCATCTCTGCTCAGGAGGCTCAGGCCCAGGCCATTCTTCAGCAGGCTCGGGTAAGAAAGGGTAAAGATGGGTTCCCGTAACCTGCTTCCGTGTCACACTATGTGAGAGTGTGTGTGTGTGTGTGTGTGTGTGTGTGTGTGTGTGTGTGTGTGTGTCTGGAGGATGCTCCGGTTAAGAACAAAATAGTTCTGAATAGTATATTGAACTTAGATGGAGAAAATGCTAAGATAATATCTATTTTCCAGTAGGAATATTTTCTTTAATTGAATATAAAAGTTAAAAGACTGGCCCTTGCAGTATTGCTGTACGTAATTCTGGCAAAAACACACAAACCATGAAGTACAAATTTTCTCATTTTTTTCCTAAAGAGTATTGATGGATTTATATGTAGCACTCTATCTTTTACATCCAGTTTTCCCTGCTAAAGTATATGTCTATGATCAATGAATAAAGTAAAAGGATAAAGTTTAAAATAACTTTTTCTACCTAATCTTCTAGATTAGTCAGGATATCCCAAATAATCCTGAAAATTAAATTTCTTAGTCATTCTTATATAGGAGAGCAAACTTCAAATATGTATTCTAAGCACTAATCATTAAATCTATAATTTTTTTTACCAGATCCATCCAGTTTATAATTCTTTGTCAGTTGAAAACTTCCACTATCTACCTACTTATTAAACATATAATTACGTTTTTTAATATTAACTCCATTGTGATTAAGATAAGGAAACCAAAATAATGGACCAGGAGAGAGTTGAAAATCATATAATACTTTTATTCATAGTATAGCCTTTTTTTTAAGGAAAAAGGAGCTAAAGGACTTACAGGTGGTATGGATATGGGTACCTGCTTTCTAAGTGATATAAATCATTTGGGTGATAACGTTTTATTTATTATCATAAGTTTATGATTGCATAAATTATCTGAAAATGTTGGTCTTTCAATTTGAAAAGATGCCAATGTTTGGTTACATCATGTATAAAGACAATGAAAAATTTAAATATTTGTTTATTAGACCTTGGCATATAGAAATTTAAAAATCTTTAAATCAGTTTACTAATGATGCCTACTTTGAACAAATTTTAGGTAACTATTTGAGCTTAAATATTTTATGAGGCCATTGAATTCCTAATTTTATTAGTCCTTTTAACCTACTTGGACATAGGTAGCAAGCATTATAATTCCAATTTTTCAGATATTTAATCTCAAGGATTAAGAAGTATATTGTCAAAAATCTCATGGTGAGTCAGTAGTGAAATTTTGGAGATTCTATTGTTTTCATCTCATGCACTTTTCTAATATGATTTTACGTATTATTTCTGTTACAATATTATTTTTGGTATCTGTTGTGATGATCTAAGTATTCATCTTTTGGAATCACTAATATTCAAAAATAGCACACCATACTAATTTAACATCTGTCAAATATTTATTCTTTGCACTGTACTTGTTCCAGCTTTTCAAGTATGCTAATTTCACATTTCTAATATTCAGTGTCAATAGTGCATGTAATCAGTCTATCGTACCTAGGATTCTACAAAATAAGTGTATTTTTCTATAAAGCATTAAATTTGAGATTCATTAAAAGAAATGTATTATCCTAACACTTTCTGATCAATTTTGCTTTTTGCTATCTGGCTTGAATTGTCATAGTTTTTCCGAGAATATTGCTAGAAAATTTTTATTTAAAGCACCTCAAATTGTTCACATCTGAAATTATTTTCAATGAGAACTGCACCCACCTATTTAAGAGACGTCTATACATTATTCTGAGTGCACTTTAGAGTAGAAAAATTGTCGGATATGAAGTTTCTTATTGTAAAATCTATTTTAACTTTTATCATTGACTAAATCATAATGTATATGCTACAAGAGTGTGTGTAAGTTACAACAGTTTAAAAAATGTCTGATACTTATTAGGTCATTTGTCATTCTAGAAACTTGTGATTCTTCTAGTATGTAGCTATTATACCTGTGTTGATCGTCTGTTACTCGAGGGTAACGTGTGCAAATGAATATTGTGGTTTAATGTGCTCATCCAGGAGAACACTCATCTGAATTTGCTGTGTTTTATTTTCTAGATTGCTCTGAGAGGTCCACCTGGCCCAATGGGTCTAACTGGAAGACCGGGTCCTGTGGTAGGTCACCTAATAACATAGTGTATGCTGAAATTCCCGTATTAGTAGTTTCTTGTGCGACTTTGGTCAGGCATTGTCCATATCTCTCGCTGGTGAAAGTAAGGGACATAATATCTACTTATGCTTGATTTTATTTCCATTGCAAAACTATTAACTTTTCAAACTATAAATATAATTTATTTACATAATAGTTAGAGTTACTAAAGTTCATTTTTACAGTAAATTCTTGAAACTTAATTTTATGCTAAGCAGAATTTCTACTAAAAAAGAAAAAATATTTGAGGCCACTGAAAATTATTCCATAATCTTTGGAGACTTGGCTTAAACTTTAAGCTGCCTTCAGGATTCCATAGTGCTTCAGAGATTAGAGCAATTATTTTGTCTTTTAGAGACTTTTGGAAAATAATTGTTTTATTTTTCCTTACTAGCTTGCTGATAAGCTGTTATATTCTATATATTTTTAAACATTTCAGGTATTTTGAAACTTACCAAATGCTGAGCAGTGTAGCAGTTCACAAAAACACAGATTCTTATTAAGTCATATTTTTTTTCCTAAGAGAAAAGAACACTGTAGGATTCCAACTTGAGTTCTCATTGATTTTTAGAATTAATGAAATAATTTCTATTTTAATTATGTGTTTTTGATATAAAATGCTGTACTGAGATTTCATGTGATCTTATATGCTCAACATGCTTTGTTAAAATAATGGTATTTACAGAAATTATTACTCTGAACATTAAAATTTTACCTTTCATTTACTTAGTAGACACAGCAAAACTATTTTATTCAAACTTGAATCAAGTAAATAGTCTCTTAATTATTTAATCTGTTTTACTGATCTTATTAGGATGATAAGTAGCTTTCTTCAAGTTTATTCAAGTTTTTTATGTACTTTTACATAAATTTATAGTTTTCTTAATTCAATCTTGAAGTTTTATGACATTTTATGTATTTTGAAGGGCTTTACACTCAATCATATGAACTCATGTGGCACGTGTTCTGGCAGTATGTTCCACAGAATTAAATTATGCATGTTTCTAAATGCCTTATTATGTATTTATTTTGTAGTTTTACTGTTCTGCCTCTCAAAACATAATCAGGAACACGGAAGATTTCATACCATTTAACAAAGGAAGAAATAGAGTTAATATTTAATTGCTTGTTAGTAATAACAAAGTTACATGACTAAGGAAAGTCAACAGTATGCTAGTGCTTTGTAAATTTGCTGGCAGAAGAATTACCTGTATATTTTATTAAAAGTGAAAGTTTCTGGGGCCTTGAACTCAAGACTCTGCTGATGCAGAGTTGGGATTGGAACTGGAAAATTATATTTTTAATCAGTGCAGCAGACTGATTCTTATGGCCAAGCCTGTTTGGGAAACACTGCCTGTTGCTTAATTTAAAAATGTCAGTCTAGGGTCTCTAAAGTTGTATTTTCCAAAGGAATTTCCTTACTTATCATCCTGACAGACTCAAGCCCTGTGGATCTGTAGAGGGTAAGGGCAGTGATGAGCAGAGCCAAAGAAAGCATGTTATATTAAGTGGTTTTCACCAGTCGTTAAGGGTCAGACAACCATAGCATGTTGGCAATGAGAAATCATTGACAACCATGTACAGATTCTCAATATACTATCCAAGATGAATTTATTTTACTGCTTAAGTTCTTAGTTATAGAAAGTTTTAGCTTCCTAAAAATATTAATGGTAGATATTGACAAAAAAATCCATATTGTATACACCATTTTCTCTTCTATTATCCTTTGCTCCAAAACATCAAATTATTACAGACCTTCAAAAATCCTGATTCTAAATTCCAAAAGTATTTTATGTATCAAGGTTTAAAAGAGAAACAATATTTTAAGACATAAATATGTGCATTGCTCCAATGAAAAACTCTTTTATTCAATTATTTTTTCCATTTACTTTTATAAATGAAAGGAGATCTATATTATAAAATATGCAGGAAACATAGAAAATATTCTTTTCTCTATTCTGTTACTGTCAATTATTGCATGACGGTTTTTAGAATAAGTGTTTGGGCTAAGTAATTATGATCTGTTGAGTAGGTAGTGTTTAAATATAGAAGATATAATATAGTAAATTAATTAAAAGTAAATTGACTTTTAATTGCATTCAGTTGTGTGATTTATAATCTGATTTAATGTAGAACCCCAGCTTCTCTCTTGAAGAAATTTAGTTGTAAGAATTCTTAATGGGAAGCTTGAGAGTCATTGTTCTTATAATTTTCAAGATTGGAATATTCATTTTTACAATGTTTTGGGAGATTTATTAATACTTGCCATGTTTTGGGGAGTTATATTAATAGTTATTTTACTTTGGAGCCACCAGGAGGCTCTAGATATCTAGCATTTTCAGACAGCATGATTTTAATCTTTTTGTACTTTGATTCAATGCACTGTTTAATTGAATCTGTATTGATTTAAATAAATTAGAAACTTCTGAAACACACAAAGTATCCTTCTTCAGCATGAAGTAACTATTATCACCATGTTCAATTTTAATGTTCTAAAGCTTTTTAGGAGAGTGAATGGCCTAGTATTTATTTTTAAAACTCACAACACTTTTATAACGTAATTTTATATTTTTTCCAGCTAATATTCCAAGTTTTTGTTGCACTTTTTGAATTATATAAATGTTTGTAAGAGATGTTTGTCATAAGGACTTCTTCTCCTGGGGAAAAAGACCAATCTAGGAAAAAATGCTTTGACATTATTTCAGGACAATGATAATGACAACATTAGCATCTGTTCTTGACATTTCATTGCTATAGAATTCAGTGTCTGAGAAATTTCTGAGTATAAAAGCATGAACATTTTGCCAAGTTGTATAAATGGATTCAGTGTGTACCCAATTCCATAAAAATGTGTTTCCTCAGTACTCCACCCCAGTGTAATGATAAATAATGCCTGTGTATCGTCATAAGTGCTCTGATGGCACACACATTAAAGAACATTTCAAAGTGGTTTCGCGAAATTGGCTTTTTTGTAGTTATCAGCAAAATATAAACTTTCAAATATAGCTCACATACTGGAACACAATCAGAGTCTGAGATGAGATGTAAAGGACTTGAAAATTTTTGTATTAATTAATAAAATCATACTATTTGATGAAATGTAGTTTCAATAATGTTTACTTGAAGTGAAAAGTGGTTAGGGAATGATAAAATTAAATCATTATATGCTTACTTTTTCTCTGTAGGGGGGACCTGGTTCCTCTGGGGCCAAAGGTGAGGCTGGTGATCCAGGTCCTCAGGTAAAAATTAATCTATTTCACTTCTTTTATTTTTGATTCTATTTTATCTCTTAGGGGAATTGAAGTATCTGCCATCTGTTTTATGAGTAAAGAAATTACATTATGTTTAAGCTCTTTAATTAAAAAACCTCTAATGGCCAGTTGGCTGCCAATCACTTGATTAATTTAAACATTATTAAAAGAAGATAATAAGCTAGGATGGGAACATCTTGATAGTAATAGGTCTTCAGAATGTTAAATTGACTTGAGATTGTACAGAGCAGCGTGTTGTATATTTTATGTTGTTATACAATTGCATAGCTACGATTACAACTGTACCTACAGTGGCCCTGCCCCAAGCCTAAGATGTTTTCTATGGAGAGTAAATCTAGCAAACCTCAGAAAGGGTATTTAATATGCCTCAAAGAAGCTAACTTTCAACCTTCTGTAGAGCTAAGGAAATTAAGAGAAATTGAGGACATCTGAGCTGAAATTTTTAAAAAGATATTAGATTATATTTACATGGTGCCCAATTAAAAGTATTATTTTTCCTTTGATGGGTAATAAGTAGATAGAGACATCCACTATAAGCACATTATGAAATAAACTCATTTTAGAAAACAGAAAAGCAAACTGTGATTATTTTTAAAATACATTCATTTTTAATGAAAATGCTTCTGATATACTCAAAACATATACATTCAGACTGGGCTGTAGGATCTCTCAAGTGTCCATTCAACTTTTTTTTAAATTAGTTTTATTTTAACAATATTATAATGTAAAATTGAATTTGAACACCTTTCTGTATTCTTCATAACCACCACCACAGTCACCAGGGTAGAGAGCAGTTCTAAAACCCTGAATAATTTCTTGGTGCAACTTTAGAGTCATATTTTCCTCCTACCCTAATACCTGACAACCACTGATCTGTTTTTCATCATTAAGTTTTATGTTTTCAAGAATACCTGGTAAATGGAATCATACATTATGTAATCTTTTGAGACTGGCTTCTTTCTCACCATAATGCCTTTGGGATTCATTGTAGTTGATGAGTGAATCAATAGTTTATTCCTTTTGGTGGCTGAGTAGTATTCCCTTACATGGGTGTGTAAAGATAATGATGTATCGATACTTAAGAAGTTAGGGAGTTTAATCTTTTGCAAAGCTTGTAAACTTTTGGATCAAACTCACCTCTTTACAAAGTAGATGTCTGAAAACATGCTGCAGTACTCTTCATGGATTTTGCAGTTTTCCTTAACTCCTCAAGTCCAAAGAGATGCAATATCAAATGAACAGTCATTTTCATTAAAAACTAACAAGATTTGTCCTGTTCTTATTGTCCTTTGTCTTCCAGCTGAGGTATAGGATAAAGTTTTCCTTGCTACAAAATTTTTTAAAAGCTATATTACTTTAACCTTTAATCATTAGACAACCTTAATTTCATATTTCCATAATCAACATTTCACAACAATCATAGGAATTATTTGTAATTTCAAATGTGTCTTCCAGTTTCTACCACACTTATTATATACATACTTTTTAACTAAAAAAGGGTATAGTGAATTAAATAGATCATATAATCTTTATACTGGAACTACATTTGATCTATTATTAGCTGTGTAATTTTATTTTAAAAAACGTGTATATCAATTCACACATTATATTAAATATTGATATAACACTGTATTCTACTGCCTCAAGAAAGAAAGATAATGAGAATCTTTGAATGTTAACCTGATACGGCATGGTTCTAGTCAGTAATTTGTATTAGGGGTTGCCAAGTCATCCTCCAGCATTTTGTAGACAATTGAAAGGAACATGTACCAGGCACAATGCTATAAATTGTATTAGTATGATGCAAAAAAGACAGATTTAGTCCAAAACCACTATAGTCAGCAATTTAATGGGAGATTCAGCTACGGAAAAGGAGACGATTATAATCCAATATGATACCTGTTATAAAAGAATAAATATCTTAGGAGAGAATCTCCAAAAAATAAAGGGAAAGATGAAGACAAAGCAGTTGGAAAGAGAAGAGGAATGAAATGGATGTTTAAGAGTGTTTTCAGTCAAACACCAAGGTTTGAGAATTAAATGAGTAATTGAGGATTTTTTTTTAAAGTTTAAAATATCACTTTGTATTCGTTTTGTTTAAACGTAATCATATGCCTATATAAACTTCATAAAATAATAGTGACCTTTTTGGCAACATGCCATTTGGAAAAATTGATTCTTTTGTCTTCCACTTTATCTGGATTTTTACATAAGAAATCATTTTCTGGTGCTGAAATGATTAAGGTTAAGCTAAGAAGATATAAATTTCTAAAACCACTTCACTTAATGTGATTGAGTTCATTGATTAATAATTCTATAAAATGAATTAATTTTGATGTTTTCATACAGGGCCCTCGTGGTGTCCAAGGTCCTCCAGGTCCAACAGGAAAACCTGGAAAAAGGGTATGGTTGGTGTTAGTTGTGTATTTTGAGGGCATCTGAAATTGTCAGTTATTTTACTTTCTTTTACTCTGTGTGAGTTGGAATCCCTTTTGCTTAGTCATGTTCTTGGTATTATCAGGGTCGTCCAGGTGCTGATGGAGGACGAGGAATGCCCGGAGAACCCGGGGCGAAGGTCAGGAGCTCATCTCATACGTTTGTATATTCAGATCTTATATCTCAGTTCACCTCTGAAAATTTCATATTTTGAAATAAAGTTTCCTGATAGGAAAGAAAATTTCACATTGAAATTACAGTATGGAGTTAGCCTGGGAGTGTGATGAAGATGATGATGATGACGATGATGTTTATTTTACAGGGGGATCGAGGATTTGATGGACTTCCAGGTCTGCCAGGTGACAAGGGTCATAGGGTAAGATATACGATTCTGTCCCTTTTTTATTTTATTATTAGGGATAATGTGGGAATACTACGAAATACTTCAAATCAATACATTTTAAGAAACAAGAAGAAAATTTAAGTGTTTGTGAACTCATTTAAATTATTATATCTACTTGAAGAAAGAAATGTAGAATTACAAATGTGATATCCCATGTAAGTTCTTTCATTTCTTTTAGATGTTAAAATACTCATTTTATGCAAACGTAAGTTAGAGGTAGAATCATTATGTACATGTGTATCATATTTATCATATTTATAGAAGAACAAGTGTAGAGATTTAATTTTGCCTATAATTTTTTGATAATTACCTCAATTTCCTTCTTATGTTTTGTCTGTGGAAATATATGCAAAAGAGGACACCTGTAGGCAGTTTGCCATTAATGTAACAATATACCGGGTACTGTATTTTATTATACTAATTAGATGGTTCTAGTAGACAGAGACAGCACAGGCTATTTCTTTGTGATAATATGAATTTGCAGTTCAATGCAAGAGTTTATAACCAGCTAAAGTTAAACAAAACACGATGCTGGACAGCAACCCAGTCAATATTTTTAGTGGGAAGTTGAGCAAAGAAGTGGTCTTTCAAAAAAAAGATCAGCTTTGGATCTTCACATTTTTCTTCTGCAGAAATTGAGAATGAAGGTAGGACAACCTTTAGAAAAATTGAATAATATGAAAAAAAAGAAAAAAAGAGAACCCTATGAATATTTAGCAAGAAATTTAGTGCATGCCTACCACATGTCAAGAGAAATAAATAATTTTGTTTTTATTAAATCCAAATTTTCTTTAGTCTTTTAAAGTTCTTCTGACTTAATATGAATTATTTTAGAAGCAGAAAATTTTTAAATTAAATAAAAATCATCAAAGTATATCCATGTTTAGGACAATCTTCAGTAAAATGCTTTTCTAAATGGTTTAGTTTCTAATAATTAAATGTCTGAAAATTTTTTGGGGTATTTTATTTAAACCTTTTTAAAGTTGAGAGAACATTTTCTCTAGCATACTAGTATGTAAAGTCGGTTAATGTAAAATTATGATTCATCTCTGAAGTTTTCTGAGAAGGGAGAACAAAGCATAAGTTTTTTCTGCCCAATGTTCTGTTATATTTGGTAGGATAACTGTAGGATAGACTTCTAAATATACTGCTTTATTTCATATTGTAATTATATTTGGATTCATTTAATAGGGTGAACGAGGTCCCCAAGGTCCTCCCGGTCCTCCTGGTGAAGATGGAATGAGGGTATATTAAATTTTATTTCCTTTAAGAAATATTTAAAATTAAAACTTAGAACAAAATTGTGTTGAAATGTTACGCTGTCTGATTGTATCACTGTCCCATTCATTTTGTCAATGACAGGGAGAAGATGGAGAAATAGGACCAAGGGGTCTTCCAGGTGAAGCTGTAAGCAAGTTTCTTTATTTTTTATATAATATCCTGTTTTGGAGGAATAATAATTGGTGTTACATATACAAAATCAATAATAAACTCAGGTGACTATTGCAATCTTACCTATGCTAACCAGGTAGC